AAGGTTTGTTGTTAAATTCCACTTGGTGTAGAAGCATTGAAAAATCTTGCAAAGAACCTGGAAAATGAACATCCATTAATAAATGCAACGATTCTTCTGGATCCTTGGCAAAACTGCCATCAGACTTTTTTAGAATGTCATGACTGTGCTTTTGGCCGCGAGATAGTATTTTGTTTAGGAGTGAGGCCTCAGCAGCACTCTCCACCTCTTCACGAAAACCTCTCCAGGCTTGTCGTTTCTTTTTTTGGACTAAATGTTTGAATTCTGAGTGGTGTGTTTTGAACAAGGTCCAGTCAGAATTCAGTCTAGTTTGTTTTGCTTTATTAAAAGCTTTTCTGCAAGTGACCCTCAGTGAATGTAGATCAGGAGTCCACCAAGGTGTAGCCCTACCTCTCTCCTCCACAATTCTCTCAGGACATGCACTATGGAAGGCCTGAGTTAGTGTGTCACCCACGAGGTTTGAGTAATACTCCAATTCATCGGTATTTCCAGGAAGGGCATCTGGAAAATCTCGCAATTGCTCATTTAAACAGCTTGCAAAAATGCTCAAGTCAGTCCGCTTTGGATCCCGGACCCTCTTTCTCAAGAGCATAATTGGTCCTAAATCAAAAGTGATCCATCTATGGTCAGACATAGACGCTTCCTGGCAGACACACCAGTTGCTAATGTTTTGAGATACGTTCGTCGATGCCAAGATCAAATCAATAATGGTCTGACACCTAGCATTGACGAACGTGGGTTCACAGCCTTGGTTGATTATTTCCAAGTCATTACTCGTAATGAATTCAAGCAAGGTCTTACCTCGAAAATTTCCTTCGTCACATCCCCAGGCAACAGAATGAGCGTTGGAGTCGCAGCCTACAATGAGTAGCCATTTATTTACCTTACTAGCGTTGACTAATGTTGCCAAGGCCGCAGTAGGAGCCATCTCTTCTATAGGCAGGCAGACAGATGCTAGAGTCAGCGTCGTTTTCTTCTTCGCTAGGAAGCATTGAATCCTGACTACAGCGGAGTCCCGATTTGATTCCTCCGGCAGGAGATACGCGGAGATATGTCTAGGAACGTAGATTGCAGCTCTCGGTCGATCCTGAGTACTGAAAAAGAAAACAGAACCGCTCAGTGGTCATGGACGCAGAAGCTGCCTCCGATCTAAGCAAGGGAGAAACTGAGCTGGACTGCTCAGCCCCGGTCGTCTCGGTCTTGTTTGGTTCATCTTCCTCATTGATGCCGCCACGCGACACCCGAGTGAATATGGTACTAAGCAGAAAATTCATTCTGCGTTCGTGCGCAGCGAGCCATTGAGCCGCTTTTTCAAAAGCAGCGAAGATCATGAGCATGCCGTCTTCTTTCTCCTCAGAGTGTAACAAACACCAATTTGCAACCTCTAAGTGAGGGTTTTGTTTGTTCAAAACGGCGATTGTTTCCCGGACATCCGCAAGCATATTAATAGCTTTTGGTACCCACGCCGTTACCCTTCTCATCTTTGGTAGTTCATCTTCCCGAACTATGTGCAGCTTCGCCCCTTCCCATGGGGAGAGCGTTGGTACTGTCGCGCGAAGCCAGTTCAGAGAGAATTCATTTTGGCATGCAACCCTGAAAACTTCCCCTGAATAAGAATAGTTTTCGAAGACAGGCGGCTCGCCATCTTTATTAAGCTCTTCTAGGAGCCTATCAATTAGGTGCGTGCGGATTTCGTCCGCTCCGTCACGCGTAACTTTTCCCATCTTATTATCGCCAGACAGGATGGCCACTCTCAAGTGCGAGGTCGCAGCATCTCTGAAGGACCGCTTCGGTGGTTTTGGTCCGGAGCTGGTATTTGCCCCTTCCTTTCTCGGAAACTTTCCGCGAGGTCGGGTGGGGGTATCTGAGTCTTCCGACCTCAGTTGCTTTGTGGTTGCTCCGTCTTTCGTGGACGACGGTCGACTTTTGCCGTATGATGGCTTCCCTTTCGCTTTAGGCGCATTTTGCTGCTGTTGCCGCAGCTTCATATTTTTTCTCCTCCTCGCTTCAGCCCCACAGATACGATTAGAGTAATAGCGGGGATAGGTAAACCCTTCACCCGCATCTCTAGAGGTCGTTGGGGCCTCTGCGCTCGTCCCATCAGACGGGGGTGTAATAGTCGCGATAGCGCGCTTCCCATCTTCTGATGGGGGCGCTTTGTTTTTCGCGCATACGCTCTTCCCATCCTTTGACGGGGGCGCTGTTTCCTTACCCTTGGCGCTCTTCCCGTCCTTTGACGGGGGCGCCTTGTTCGCTGGCTTTCGCTCCATCTAGCGCTTTTGACGCAAGACGCACGTCACCGAAACGACCGGTCTGGACGCGTTGGAGACTAGCCCTTTGAGGTTATGTTCGTAATGCTTCAAGTGAAAAAGAAACAAGAAGCCGAGTATAAAACGTAATATACGTTAGAAGACTTACCGGATTTGGTGAAAAATAACACACACCGGTGTAAGGAATCACTAGGTGACCAAAAAAAACACAAATTGAGACACTAAAACACGCGAAACGCGGAGCGCTCAACTTGCACGTGTTACCGGTCCGAGTTCTCGAACCGGCTTCAGGATAACTTTCAAGTGTTGTTATCATTCAGATGTTTCAAAGTTGCGTTCATATGCGATGTTAAGCAGATGTACCGACATATTTTAATTACACTTCAAGATAAAAATTATCAAAAAATTCTATGGCGATTTTCTCCGCATGAACCTGTTCAATAATACGTCCTTAACACTGTCACCTATGGCGTATCATCCGCTCCTTTCCTAGCATTGAGAACTTTGATTGAACTTGCCAATATCAATGTGGAACAATATCCGAAAGCGTTTGATGTATTGAAAAATAATGTTTATGTTGACGACATTGTGACCGGGGCACAGTCGATGAAAGAAGCTCTTAACCTACAAAGGGAACTCATTATGTTGTTGAAGAATGGAGGTTTTGAACTGAGAAAATGGGCAAATAACTCACCTGCAATTTTATGATCAGTTTCTGAAAGCGATGTGCAAACTCTAATATCCATGGATTATGGTGAAATTTGTTGCGTAAAGGTTTTAGGACTACAATGGGGCCCAAAATCCGATACCTTTCGTTATTCCCATTCTCCTCACCAATAACCTTGTACGAAAAAATATATATTGTCTGATATAGCGCGCATTTATGATCCGTTAGGTTTTTTAACTCCTTGTCTCTTGAAAGCCAAATGTTTTATTCAGAAATTGTGGTTACTAAAACGCACTTGGGATGAAAGAGATAACTGAAAATTGGAACAAATTTAAAACCAATCTTGAATCTTTATCAAGTTTACGTTTACCTAGATTGATTATTTCACCAAATTCTAAATCTGTTGAACTTCACATTTTTTGTGATGCTACGTCTTTTCTATGCGCCAAATCCCGAGTGGCGCCACTCAAAACTCTTTCCATACCACGGCTCGAGTTATGCGGAGCTGTTCTCCTCGTAGACCTTCTTCAAAATATAAAAGAAGCGTTATTACGCACGATCAGAATAGATTCTATCACGGGTTGGACGAGCTCCCAAGTTACGTTGGCTTGGATTTGGTCCGAACCTAGTCGCTGGAAAGTTTTCGTTGCTAATCGTGTTACTCACATACAAGAACATTTACCATCATCTTCATGGAGATATATATCTTCTCAACAAAACCCCGCCGATTGTGGTTCTAGAGGTTTATTTCCAAGTCAATTAATTCCATATGAACTGTGGTGGAAAGGTCCTTCCTGGCTTCGGGAACCTCCAGAGAATTGGCCATCCAATGTTCGTTTAAATTCAGAAACCACAGAAATTACAAATGAACAAAAACCGAATACTGTTCATGTTTTAGAAAACTCAACTCATGTTATAGATCTATTACTTTTAAAATTTTCATCGATTTCAAGAATTAAACGTACCTGTGCTTACATTTTACGTGTTATTCATCATTGTCGTAAACGAAAACGCTATCTAACACTACAATTGTTGCCTTTTAAAACCCAAAAGGCTCTTTATACCATAATCCATCACGTACAATTGCATCATTTTTCCGAATTATTCACAGCTATTCGTAACAACAAACTTCCTGATAAATGTTTTCGAAAGTTGGCTCCCTTCCTCGATAGGGATGGATTGATTAGGGTTGGTGGTAGAATAAAAAACGCTGTAATTCCTTTCGATCATAAACACCCTGTGTTATTACCTAAACGCCCTCGTGTGAGTGAGTTGATTGTGGAGGACATACATAAACAATACTTACATCCGGGTCAACGTACACTTCAGAACCTAGTTATGCAACAGTATTGGATACTAGGTGCTCGGAGCGTCATCCACAAGATCATATCTAGATGCATCAGATGTTTTCGGTGCAAATCACGAGCATACGCTCCTTGGATGGCGGACTTACCTCCCTTCAGAGTGTCTGAAATCAAGGCCTTCTCCGTGGTAGCAGTAGATTTTGCGGAACCAATCTATATAACCATCAGTCGTTGCAGAGGATCCCGTGCGGTTAAGTCCTATATATCAGTTTTTGTTTGTACGGCTACCAAAGCTATTCATTTGGAGCTCGTTTCAGATCTTACCACGGAGGCTTTCATTGCTGCGCTTAGACGATTCATTTCCCGGAGAGGACGATGTTTCATGATACTTTCTGATCAGGGCACTAATTTTATTGGAGCCTATAATCGTCTACAAGAAATGGCAGAAGTCGCGGGCTATCGATTGGACCTAACTTATCAGTTCCATCCACCTGGCGTTCCGCACTTCAACGGTCTGACTGAAGCAGGGGTCAAGGCTGTTAAAGGTCACTTATTACGGGTCATCGGGGATCAAAAGCTTACATTTGAAGAAGTATACACCGTACTAACCCAGATTGAAGCGGTGTTAAATTTAAGGCCCCTCTCAGCCATTACCATTGATCCTAACGATCTCCAATCCTTAACCCTCTCACATTTTTTATTTTTGGAGCCTCAAAATTCTGTTGTTCTAGAGAAAGATCTGACGCAGGTCCAACTTAATCGATTGGATCGTTGGAAATTAATTCAAGCCATGGTGCAACACTTTTGGAAGCGATGGCATGTAGAATATATAACAACGCTTCAACTTCGTCATAAATGGAACTCGCCCTCGCCAAGCCCCGCTGTTGGTGACTTGGTTATCATCCGCGACGAGCAACAACCACCGCTTAGATGGGAAACTGGAAGAATTTGCGAAATTCATCCCGGTGAAGACGGAATAATTCGAGTTGTAACCGTTAAAACAACAAATGGAAGGCGCCCTACAACAAAAATATGTCCGTTACCAATTCCTTAAAAAAAAAATGTTTATTACTTTTATTGACTACTATTTTTGTTTTTTTTTATTAATGGGAAAAGTACTTACCATTTTACCATACGAATAAGATTTTCTCTATTTCCACACAATATTTAATTTTTCTTTGACCTTTTTTGAACCACCCCTTTTTCTTGTTTTTTTGTCACCTTTTAATTTTAACTGCGTGAACAGATATAATAACAAAATTCATAAAATATGTACTTCGGTACTTACTATTTAATTAATGTATATAATATTCTATCATAACATTTTCATCGATGTAATTATTAATAATTGGCTGCTTGTTTGTTTATGTTTGCGCCATGTACTTACAAGTCTTGTGGGTTACACCAATTATTTTTGATTAGATTACATAAGGGTAACAAAATAAAACACGAATTTTAAGAAAATTATTTTTACTCTATTGATTTTTAAACAAAATAAGTTTATAATATTTGGATCGGATATAATTGAGTTTTAAAGAATTTAATTTAGTTTCGTGAAAGATGCGAATATCGTAATATTTTTCGACAATAATTTTTGTTAGTTGCATCTATCTAAATAATCTTGATCCTGTACGTGTGATAGAAATTCAGCATCATTAAAGAGTTTAGGAAAGCACCTTTTCAAGCAGTCATTGATCATTTTGCCTTTTATGGTTGGGCTAAATATTCTTGTTATATTTTCCCTATACACTTTTTCCGCGATTTTGCAAATAATAACGACGTCATCTGAGGGAAAAATGAGTTGTCCCTCATTTTTTAAATTAATTAATTTAGATTTTCTTTCGGTTGATACAATGTACATTTTTCAAAAAATTGCATAATTTTTTTGACAGCAAAGCCGCTGAAATATTCGATCACATTCTCTACATAAGAATTAGTAGAAAATTATTTCCACATAGTATGAGTATAATCGTGATCGAATTCATCAGCGCAAAAAAATTATCATTTTCCACTGATGGGAAAGCCGAACCGGCATCGTTTTGACGATACATATAAAATGTCTAAACCGTCTGCCAAGCATTTTGAATTGTCAAACATTTTTATTTCATTTCTAATTAATAATCTCTTAAAGGCACTTTCAAATTGCTTGGCATTAGGATTGTTATTGAAACCACCACGGCTTCTAATACCACTGAAATATGTCTCAATAAAGTCTTCACTTAACTTAAATGTTAAAAGGTAACCTATTGAGTTATTAACCTCATTATAATAATGAAATAGATTGGTCAAATCTATTATAAAACCCCAAAGCCCAGTTTTTCTTTGTCCGTCTAAAAGCTTCATCCCATGGAAATCTTCAAGATTGGTAATGTAATTAATAAAGTTGAGAGCCTGTTCTTTAAAATATTTAATTGTTTCGCTTGATAGTGGTCGGTTAAAAGAGTTTCTTGTTGCTACAATTTAACATATCAAAGATGTTATTAATGATCAGACAAAAGTTTGCTGTGCCATCACAATCATTGAACATTGTAGGATTGTACTTCGTCTCCTTTAAGAATAAGAGTGCATTATACACACTTTTACTCAGTGTCTGAGTTGCTAATTTAACCTGCATTCTATTCTCATAATATTGGATGTTTATTTGTTATTTTTTTTGGCTAAGTGCAGCCCCTCTTTCAATTGAATGCTGTTTAATTCCTTAATGTGTTGCCAATTAATCTTCTTATTGAAGCCATCTATAATTAAGCCTTTATCCCCTAGCGTATTTCTAACAAGTTTTACCATGTGGCAGGCATCAAAAAATATATAAATATTTTTTTTTTACTTATTAGGTGTTGAATCTATGGCTTAAAATTGTTTGCAGAAAAATTAAAGTTAGCTCCCAAATTGCTGCACACTGATAAATTGACGGGTGCTTCGTCGAAAGTTATCGAACTAACTTGCGCACCAGTGTCATGTAATAGTTTCAAACACATGTTTAATAAATTGGCTCTTTCCGAGCCCGTCAAGAATTTGATGAGGAAAGAGGCAACAGGAACTTTCCAGCCTCCGTTTACACAGACCGCTATGAAAACCAAAACATTTTTTGCCAATTGAATGTTATCGTTGTCCGTATTAGCAACATGGCGACCAAGGTCCAATTCCACATAAAACCTATTTCGATCAAAAATTCTTTATTCGCTCAAAGCCATTTCATCTATAACTAGATTAACTAACACTTTTTTTGTTGAGGCTTGTTCTCGAATGGCAGAAAATGCTTCTGACGTAAAACCGGGCTTTCCGTCTATGAATGTATTCCGTCCATGCTGGTAATGTTGAGGGATGTGGTAACAAATTTTTCCACGTTTTGCGTACATAATCGTACGCCTTTGTCCAATAAAATTGTAATGTTAGGGTAAATCCTCGTAATTCTGGTGAATATCGCCTCCTCCCTTTTCCTTTTATCATTTTATCAATATTGCTTTATGCCGTCCGGCAATATATTCTATAATAATGTATTAAATTGCGTTTAATATTTAGATTTTTTATTAATACACTGTTGGAAATAATTCACGAACACACCCTGTATAATCTGAACGCGTGTGTCTAGCGCAATAAAATTTGGTATGGAAGTAGTACTAAAGTAGTGTAACTTACTCTCACATGGAGAGCGACACAACTCTGCTGGAAGGAGAAACATCAATAGCGAGAGTATCCTCGTGAGCTTCGCGTATTATCGCTACAGGACGTGGCATGGAGTCTATAAGTCGCTGTATTGTAGCAAGAGGGATGGCCAACCATTCCACCTCAACTCGCCTCCATAGATCCTCAATGTTAGCCGGGGAAGCCGGATGTCGTTGAAGTGTCCGACCAGTCATGTCCCAAACATGTTCGATCAGATTTAGATCCGGAAAACGAGCTGGCCATGGAAGCATTCGTATACGGTGCTCTTCCACAAAGGTCTGTACAACACGCCCGATGTGCGGTAGGACGTTGTCGTGCATGTATAGCAGACCTGGGCGCCGCCGAACGTAGGGAAGTACAACGGACCGTAGCACCTCATCTACGTATCGTTGACCCGTCATGGTCTGCTATATACGCAGCAGACGTGTACGTCCATCATGAGACGCACCCCATGATACCATAATGCTCGGATGTCGGTGGATAGGGCGTTCTTGCACACACTGCTCGAGTAGACGATCACCACGTCTCCGACAAAATAAAATTCGCACATCACCGGTGCTCAATTCGAATCTTGATTCGTCGGAAAACAAAATGTCCCTCTACTCGGCGATCCACTAGTGCCTAACGTCGACCCACTCATGACGTATGCTGCGGTGCTCGGGTGTTACTAGAATCCGCTGTATCGCACGACGCGCGCGCTGTCCACTATCTACCAAACGCCGCCGTACTGTTCGCTTAGTGAGTGCGCCTTCCCCTGCCGGTGGCCAAACAGCTCCAAGTTGGCATGAGGAGGACGCACATGATGCTAAAGCGCTGAGCACAAGAGCGCGATCCTCGTATGCTGGGGTTGTCCTACCTGTCGGGTATGTCCTACCTCAGTCCATTCTCGCCATACCCGTTGCACTGCCGATAACGACTGCTCGAGACGACGCGCCATTTCACGGAACGATACACTCTCAATGTGCATACCCACAAACATTCCTCGCTCAAAAAATTGTAAGATGCACATAAAAATAAACAATTTCGTTAATAACTAGCTACGACTATAAACCCAATTACATTTATGAGGACATTTGATCTACATTTTAAGCAAAAACTAAATAGTTGTTAAAAAGATAAATGATAAGGCAGAGATCATAAATGTGATGGACTTTTTTGATTAAGTAAATGACTATGGCTTTTGCAGGAATTTTATTTTTGTCAATTTTAAAACAGAATCTTGTATATGACAAAATCATAAACAACAACAACTTTTTATATCACTATGCTTACAACATGTAAATTGTCAACAGGTAAAGTGATCTAAATATTTATTATAAAATAAACGTTGATCAAAATAATTATCAACTAAATTATTCTAACACCCTCCCTCAACGTTTATAATGAATATTCTAATCAAATTAATCCTAAACCTTTCCTAAACTTCCTAAGTTTTATTTTATATAACGGTTTAGTCAGTATATCAGCTATTCAGTAGGTAAATATTTTATTTTTATTTACTAAATCCCTTATATAATGGTATTTCGTATCTATGTGCTTAGTTCTTTTCTTTAACTGGTCATTTTTGGTAAGTTTTATGCAACTTTGATAATCCTCGAAGATTATCGGTGTTACATTAACGCCTATTTCTGATAATAATCTCGTGTACCATTCAAGCTCTGTAGTTAATTCAGTTAGCGCAACATATTCCGCCTCCGTAGACGATGCTGCTCCAAGTCATTAAATTGCCATTTAAGAATACACAATATCCACTATTTGATTTTCTATCAATTAAATTCGATCCCCAATCCGCATAATTTACACTTTCAATAAATCTCTTAGGTGGAATACCTCTATTTTTCCTTGTTGGGCATCTATGTTCCTCTTCGGTTTGTTGTTTTTCTTCTTGTACCCCTTCATTCAAATTTTTTTGAATTCGAAATGGTTCTTGTAGATCTTCATTATTTTCCAGATTTATCATAATTATATTCTTTTCATTACAAGGTTTTTCAACGGTTATCTTTGGTTTATTGAATTTTTCGTCGGCTAAAATTATATTTCTTGTAATCTTTACCTTTCTGTTATTAACAAGTATTCTGTAACCCTTTGTGTTCTCTTCATATCCAATAAATATACCTTTTTCTCCTCTATCATCAAGTTTTCGTCTGTCTACATGATCATTATAATAATAAACTGTACTTCCGAATGAAATCATATCATTATATGTTGGCATTTGATTATACCACTGTTGGGGTATTTTATTATTATTTGAAATTATTCTGTTCAAAATATAACAAGCAGTTTTAACTGCTTCACCCCAATAACACTTATCTACCTTTGATTAAATAAGTAAGCATCTAACAGCTTCCATTAAGGTTCTATTCTTTATTTCTGCTTTACCGCTCTGTTGAG